GTTAGAGTGTAAAGTAGAATGAAACCATAACTAATAAGATCCATATACGTTTTAACGGCCTGGTGGTTAGGGTGCTCGACTCGCAATCTGCAGGTCGCGAGTTCAAATCCCACCATCAAACATACTTGCCCTTTGAACCATAGGGGCGTTATAATGTGTAGGTCAATCCTACTACTTGGTAAAGAGTAACTCAAAAGTTAGCGGTGAGTGATGTTGACTATGGCTTTGAGGTTAACAAAGAAACAAGCGATTTTTAACCAATCTAGTGATATATATACATTGTCCTTCATATGTTTTAAATTAATATAAACTCGTATACTGATGTATTGCTTTTGATCTTCAACTTTTATAACTCCTTAAAACCAAGCCCCCCCCCCCCCTCTCAGTGCCACAGCGGTATGTCTGCGGACTTTTATCGCTAGAAACCGAGTTTCGATACGTGTGGTAGGCAAAACACAGATAGCCCATTGTGTAGCTTTGTGCTTAATTTCAAACAAAAAAAAACTTAAAATCAACAACTCAGTTTTAACCAATGAACGAAGACAGCGTACCATCTATTGTTGTTTGAAAAAAAAAATAAACATTAAGAATTATATTGATGAACGACAAAAGCCCGATTGGTTTCTTTCTTTCTTTTTTCAGCTTCAGAAAGTTTTTCTATTTTTCCGCTATAACGAATTTATTGCTCGTATTGAAGCTGAAACAGAAAATAAACGTTTCGAGGCCGAAAAAGCCCCCATTGAAGCCGAAAAAGAAATTAGGCTGAAAGAAATGGAAATTAGACTAAACACTGATCGACCAAGGCAAAATGACGACTTTGAACTTAATCGATATGTTAAAGTACCACCGTTCAATGAAGATGAAGTTGGTAAATATTTTCAACATTTTGAGAAAGTTGCCCAAACCGTGGAATGGCCCACCAAAAATGGTCATTATTATTACAAAGTGTATTAACTAGTAAAGCACAAATACCTTACGCCGCTCTCTTTCTAGAAGATTGTACGAATTATTATGATAAGGTTAAAGCAGCTATTCTCAAAGCATACGAGTTAGTACTGGAGGCTTATCGCCAAAAGTTTGGAGGTTATTGCAAACAAGATAATCAAACTTATATGGAACTTGCCCACGAAAAAGAAGTTTATTTTGATCGATGGTGTAATTCTATGTATATTGGCAACAGTTTAGAACTAGGACAATTATGTCTAATTGAGGAATTTAAACGTTGTGGACGTGACGACCTCAAAACTTACTTGGATGAAAAG